GCTATTAATAACAATTATTAATACAATAAAATATAGACAATGACTTATAAACTATATGGGTATAATGGGACTCCATTATGGGGCTCTGAAACATGTGAATTTTGGAACTGTGCTGCACATCCTCCATGAATGAATAGAGGATATGTGTTAAGACCTGCTGCCAAGTATTGCCAATACAAAAAATTAACGTGACACTGTCTCTCTCAACAAGTGACTTACAATAAGGTCTCAGAAATTTAAATGACTTCACATTTCTGCAGTGCAATTAGTCATTTGTTTCTCAAACAAAATCTGCTTGCTCCTTTAAGCAGTGTTTCTCTAACACACTTAAGTTTTTCATTTTAAACTCAAAGGGAGAGAGAATATCTTATGTCTATTTTGGGGCAAAGGTCCCCTAAAATATCTGGAAGGTGCACAGAACTGTCATAGGTATTGTATTTTTATGCTGTAGTGTCACTGCTTACTTTCCAGAGAAGATTCCTCTAAATTGTGTTGGATACTCACCGCAGACCGACCCTCGCACTAATCTCCTTAGATGAGGTCTCTCTGGGAGGTAGCGATATTTGCATCCAAATATACTGAGGTTTGATGTGTGGTCTCCAAAGAAACGGAGCTGGCGGTATCTCTCCCCACATCGATAACAAAAATTAGTGTTACATTGTGAACAGGTCATATGGTCACACCCTTCTGTTCTCTGGATGTGGATCTGTATCGGCGGAAGAGGGAAAAGGAAGGACAGGTCATGAAAAATGCTCTAAGTAAAATCTAGTAAGTGTTATGGAATGACTCCAGTTTTACTTTAATAAAAGCCTTACACAGCATTCCTGAGGCTGTCAGTCTGCTTATAGTCACACTCTCCAAGATCATATTTGTATCAAATTATTTAACACAGGTGAAGCTCAGTAACAGTTTAGGTATTCAAGCTTCTGGCTTATTTTGGCTAACACATCAATGAACAGATCCCAAAGAAAACTCACTTATCTTTCTAGACATCCACCTAACTCAGTGGTTAGGAGGCAATTTAAAATGCTGTGAAAGTGTATTTTGTTTATGCTGTGATCTGCAAGAACAGGCAACCTGGGAAATAAGAAGAG